TTTCACCCCAGAAATCCACTTTTCTCAGGATGTAATTTTTGTCAAGTAATTTGAAAGTTGCATTCAAAAGGAGGGCTAAGATAATACACACTTTTAAGCACTTATCTGTTCTAAAAATCCATTCAAAAATGTGATGACGTCACACAATAGCAGAATGCTAGCGCGTTCCAGCCAACAACGGCCTAACCTGTAAGAAATCGAAAGGACATAAGTACTCGTTCATTCGACTTTTGGCCTATAATCTATATTGAACTTGCGGAATCAACAATAAAATCTATGTTAATTTAACGACAAGCAGGTGGAAGAGACACTTTTAGCCGTTTAGCCCCATAGACTCCCATTCATTCTGCTCTCGCCCGCGATCACCTCCAGTGGAATTCTAATGGAACTGCAACCAAGATGATGCACAACGGGGCTAATAGGAAGTGCCAATGCTCTCCGTTAGACGGGCTCTGTTAATACCAGTCATTGATTCGAGTGTTTTATTTCTACAATGTATGATGTAAAATCGTCTTAGTGCTGCCTCTTCAGGTTGAACGGTGGCTACTGCAGTTGAATTTTCCTATTGGATGTTCCGCACTTCGTGACGTACGCAGGTTTCAGCTCACCACACCCTGGCAGTATAAAAACTATGTTGTGTCGTCAAAACCACTGTAGGGCGTCAGGAATTGGAATTGTGAGTATTGAAAACGATCAGGATAGAGTGTTTTAGCGTCTATTTCGTCCCCTCTATCTCCGCTGGGGTCTGCCCACTTTTTCAGCATTTTCAAATATTGCCAGTGGGTGGAGTCAGGCTCTGACCAGGGGTTTAGTTACCCTTTAATCTCTTCCTTCTGCTCTGGTTGGCTCAGGTGACGTGGTACTCAATGACAGTTGGGGATCTTCACTCTCCACTTCCTGTGAAGTGATGTATCGATGTTCCCTACGCTGTTTGCAGTGCCCTCGAACTGAACATGTTCGTTCCCTTCGATTGAATCTCACTTGAGATTGAGAAACACCCTGTGAAGTCCACTTCGCAGTCACTTACGGTTGAAGGAACGCACCTAGAGTCTGGATGAGGCGGCCTTGTGCGTGTGATCATGTGACCTGACAGATCAGTAGGGGCCGGATTCAGTCAAACCTGGGGCTGGTTGCACTAACAGCCATTCTGTTACGACTGTATCTTAACTAGCGGTTAGTCGAGTGGATGCATGATATCAGTTCCTCTGAAACCACTTCTGGAGGGATGTTTGCAACTTGAAGCGTAACATTAGCTGGATATGGATCCAGTGTGATCAACACTGGTAAAAAAAAACTCTTGCTGGCAAAAAATACACTTTGAATTGTTAGCTTTGCACAAAAATGGTACTAAACGCCAATGGTGTGTTACATTGACTACAAGGGGGACTTAAAGGGTGGTTTATATCCCCTAAACTCATCCCCAGACAACAAACTGACATTGAATCAATGTGGAAACGACGTCTCTCATGACATTGAAACAACGTTGATTTGCTCATCGAATTAATGTTGAACCAACGTCAGACGCGGCATTCTTCAAATCTAAATGAAATCGAAAATTGGTTTGCTTTCATAACGTTAAAACAACGCGTTGATTTCAAGTTGATTTTCCGTTAGTTTTGAAAGAATGACGCGTCTGACGTTGGTTCAACGTTAATTCGATGACCAAAACAATGTCAGATCAACGTTGTTTCGATGTCATATTTCCACGTTGATTCAATGTCAGTTTGCTATCTGGGTCTTTAATCGCCAAAATGAGGGCTTAAAATATCTCGAATGTAACTCGACACCCTTGCCTCATTTAGTATGTGTGGTTTTATGAATATGCAAATGAGCCCCTCCTCCACTCACTCAGCCCAGAGATCCGCTGGTTGACGATCACATGTTGATCTGATTGGTCACAAGGTCGTTTGTGACGTCAGAAACACCAGCGATTTCACACCGTGTTTTTGAAACTGTCACTACAGTTTTAAGGGGGAAATACTCAACTTATGAACTTACACATGGTTTAAAACATTTAAAAACACCACATACACACATAAAATGTAAACTTGATGCATTAAAAATTTGATTTTCACCACAGGGGGACTTTAAGACCAGGGTTCAACTAGCAGGGTTGTGTAACCGGTAAGATCCTTGGCTCCTCATCTTTACCATAGGGCCAATGTTAACTTTTTTAACTTCTTTTTTAATCTATAGCATTTGCAATGTAAACCCATATTCAGAAACAAGGGAGGGCTGAAATAACAAGGTCTGTTTTGCACAGATATCCGGTAGGGTGAGGTCTGTATAGTCCCTAAAGCTCTTTGAATTGTTTACTGTGAGTATAGACTGTGATTGTGACCCTGCAAACAAATGACTGGGTGATCCTCATTCCAGCTCGTCATGAGGGTAACATGTCCCACTCATTGGGGTGGGGCCCAGGGCAAGTTTGGACATGCATATCCTCTCATAGCTACTGTACATACTGTATGCGTGTGTGTGTGTGTGTGTGTGTGTGTGTGTGTGTGTGTGTGAGTATGAGATGTCTGAGTGTGATGCGTGTGTGAAACCTACGTCATCAGAAAAAGAAATTGTTCCAGACCGGAAGTAACTTTTCAAATTTTGATTAAAGATTACTAAGGTAAAACATTTTTTTTAAATATATATTCACTTGCACGGATTAATTGTTCACCACAAGACTAGAAATATGCGCTAACAAAGTAAATAGGTTCAATTTTGATGTCACGGGGACTTTAAGAAACAACATACAGACGAGGTTGAGTAAGTCGTTGTTATTTGTGTTTTTTAAGGTAAATTGCCTTAAAGTAGTATTTTTAAATTAAAATTTACATTTTATTATTTGATGTGCATTTAGTTTCACTCAGCCGCAGACCAAACGTTTTAAAACGACATTTAGAAATGATATTGATATAAGTGTTTTTTTTTTTTTTGTAAGTGTTAGGTGTTATAAGTGGTTTTTTTTAAGTGTTAAGTGTTTTTTTTTTTTTTTTTTTACTGTACTATTATTATTTTGTGGTTTTATACTGAATGAGTACTCGCTTGACCTGTTCCGTCATAGCTATGAAAACCACGGACCAATCAGAGTGGTGTGTGAATGACATGAGTGTGATCTGATTGGCCGACTCCGTCCGTGAGCTCAGTAGTAATGAATGGCAGATGACTGCGCGCACGCGCTGCCGCACAGAGACGCTTTGCAGGAGATTTGAACGAGCTCGTGACAGTCAGCCGAGGAATCTCACCCGCGCGCATTAAGGTAAGCAGCGAAGACGCAATGCTCGTAACGTGTCAAGTGTCTTGTTTTTGATTGTTGGTGGTAAGTGTACGAATGTTATCTTAATTCGGAATGAGTGCTTCAAATTCTTGTTTTGTGTAGTTTATACACGTATGTGTGTTCGTGTTTCCCGGTGGCGGCTCGCGCATGAGACCAGCTGACGCAACAACTGTGTGTGTTTGTCCAGATGAATGAATGCGTGTGTGTAACGCTTCACTGCGCCTGTTGTGCAAAACGAGCGTGAGTGCTGCCGCATACTAAACGCTTGGCACCCAGGCTCGTGTTGTGTCGAGGTTCAGCGGCTCTTGCTGATGTTTACGAGCTGTTGTTGTAGTGGCGTCACCACGACTGTTTCCTGTCGCCCAGGCTTCACCATGACAACGGCGGCTCACGCGCAGGAGCTCTTCAGGCGCGCGCAGGCCGTGTGCTTTGACGTGGACAGCACCGTGATCCGCGAGGAGGGCATCGACGAGCTCGCGAAGTTCTGCGGCGTCGGGGACGCGGTCACGGAGATGTCAGCACACACACACACACACACACACACACACACACACGCACTCGCCTTGTCCAAAATACGCACACTTGCGGTCTTTGCTCTTGTCTGCTTGCATGACGTATTTCCTCTCTGAATAGTCATGAAGACTGCAAGTGTGTAATCATGATTACTCGATAGGACACACTTAATTTATAGTCTTGCAAAACAAATGCAAGTGTTTACATGGCTTTTATTTCTTCTATTTTTAATACTTTGCATTTTAGAATAAACCTCATGTAGTCTGTTCAGCAGTCGCTGTAACTAGCAGAAGACACACAATCAAAACATTTGCAAATGTTGTACAGAATAGGCCTACACACACACACACACACACACACACCATTCTCATCTTTGCACCAATAAAATGTCAGCACTTTGTTTTTATTACCAAATTAAATGCATGTAATTAATGTAAATGACTGTGGAATGGTTTCCTTAACATCTTGTGAATTCGGGGCACATAACTTCACGAACATAATGCATTATGGGATACGCTTAGCCTAGAGATAGTGTGGGTTTAGTGTGCATTAAGGGAACTGCACTTTGGCATCTTTAAGACATGGGACAGTCTTGCTGACTTGAGAATGGTATTTGGACAAGGCAACAGTACACACACACATACACCCTAGCCAGTGTGCAAACACTCACAGCACTGAGTTTGAGAGCGCACCCCCGTGGTTGTGTGTGTCCGCAGGACCCGGAGTGCCATGGGCGGCTCCGTCTCGTTCCACACAGCTCTGAGTGAGCGTCTGTCCATCATCAAGTGTTCGAGGGAACAGGTCAACAAACTGCTGACGGACCACCCGCCGCAGCTCACGCCGGGGATCAGGTGTGTGTGCGAAGCTTTTCACAATACACTTTGCACACACTACACTATATACACACTATTAATAAAGTTACTTTTGATACACTACAAACACACTACTCACAATATTTATACAAACTACACTATACACACACTTATACATTCACAATAAACAGACTTTACAACCTATATACTTTTTATACATTTACACTACACTTTACACCCTATACACACACACTAGTCATCCTCATTTATATTGCGCTTTTAACATTGTAGACTACCCTATACAGTAAACACAACACTATATTCACAGTGTATATACTATAGTAGAAACTACACACTTTTTTGCATTTACACTACTTTACACCACACAGTATACACTTTTTACACATGTGCACGTCACTTTACACCTTATACATTATACACAGAGTGTAGACTATATACTATGTACTACACAATATACACTACACATTATGCTATTTACAGTGAAATGAAGTACACTAAAGTGCATGTGGCCATTGTGCGCTGCATTCGTACGTGTGTGTCCTCAGGGAGCTGGTGGAGCGTCTTCATCAGCGCGGCGTGAAGGTCTTCCTCATCTCCGGCGGCTTCCGCTGCATCGTCGAACACGTGGCGTCGCAGCTCCACATTCCCCTGGACCACGTCTACGCAAACCGCCTCAAGTTTTACTTCAACGGTAAGAGGCGTCGTCCTGCACTGGCTCATGGGGTGTGCGTTTAGTAATGCTCAGATTCAGCAGTCGGAATCAACTCGGCCCGACTGAAACAAAACAGGTGTGCGTGTAAACGTAGCCTGTGGCGTGTGTTTTGTGCTCCTTCAGGCGAGTGAGTGACGAGAGGTGTGTGTGTTAAAGGATTAGTTCACTTTTGAAAAAACTTTTGCTGATAATTTACTCACCCCCATGTTATCCAAGATGTCCATGTCTTTCTTTCCTCAGTCGAAAAGAAATGAAGGTTTTTGATGAAAACATTCCAGGATTTTTCTCCATATAATGGACTTCAATGGGAACCGGATGGTTCAAGGTCCAAAAGACAGTTAATAACAGTTTCAGATGCAGCTTCAAATGTCTTTAAACGACACCAGACGATGAATAAGGGTCTTATCATGCGAAACGATCGGTTATTTCAAAACTTATTCCAAAAATGTAACTTTTCTAAGGACAAATGCTAGCCTTGCTCTATTCTGTGAGGCGCGTTTGTAACGTCACGTATTACGTAATTACGTTCAAAAGGTCACGGGCGACGTAGCCGAAAGTACAGAGTCAGAGTGTTTACAAGTTGAACGCATAGGTTGAACGTGCAAACTAACTCAAACGCCGTTTACAAAAAAAGGAATTAAAAGGAAAAACAACGATGTCGGACGGTTACGTCGCCCGTGACCTTTTGAAGGTAATTACGTACTACGTGACGTTGCAAACGCGCCTCACAGAATGGAGAAAGGCTAGCCTTTGTCCTTAGAAAAGTTACATTTTTGGAATAAGCTTCGAAATAACCGATCGTTTCGCATGATAAGACCCTTATTCATCGTCTGGTGTCGTTTAAAGACATTTGAAGCTGCATCTGAAACTGTTATTAACTGTCTTTTGGACTTTGAACCATCCGGTTCCCATTGAAGTCCATTATATGGAGAAAAATCCTGGAATGTTTTAATCAAAAACCTTAATTTCTTTTCGACTGAGGAAAGAAAGACATGGACATCTTGGATGACATGGGGGTGAGTAAATTATCAGCAAAAGTTTTTTCAAAAGTGAACTAATCCTTTAAGTAACCGACGAGGCATGTGTGTTGTGAGTAGGGGTGTAACGGTACACAAAAATCACGGTTCGGTGCGTACCTCGGTTTTAAAGTCACGGTTCGGTATGTTTTCGATACAGCAAAAAGAAAGAAATGCCAGAGAAATGTCCTATTTGTTTAAAGAAAAAATATTTTTAAATAAGTGTGAGTTTTCCTAGATCTTGAAACTTTCAGGTTTATAAATGGGGGTCATTTGTGAAGGATGAACAAATAATGTTTTGGTCATCACATTAAAAATAACTTTTAAATATATATTTATTCAGATAATGTTTGAATTTTGAAGTGCTGGAAAAAGATGTGTGAAGTACTTGAAAGCATTTCACCATTCCAGCCAAACTGGTTAGAGTTAGTGTTACTATTTTAAATCCATGGTGAATGTTGCTGGTCTGTGGACGTAAAGTACTAGTTCATTCACGGCACAATGTTTCTCCTGGTTTCCACGTCAGCGCTGTTTGATCTAATAGAGATCTACGGTTAATAACGGAGAAATGTGAATGCTTCTCACTAGATCTCGCAGCGATGTTATTACCTCAGTGGTGAATTGACCCTTCGCTAAGCCACGCCCGAAAACCGCCACTGGCCAATCATGTCTTAGCAACCGTAACTATGCGCGGGAGGTCTGGCAAGCTTTCGAACGAGGGAAACATGCTGAAGCATTGTGCATATGGATTGTGCAAATCTGATACCGGTATCCACAAGTTTCCGAGGGGCGCTCCTGTAAAAAATAAAGTGGGTGAAACTTCCGGTGACGCGGCGGAAGTAGCATTCCAATGGTATTTTGTGTGTTAGTTAGCAAAGAGGCTAGCTGTTTTTCGGAGAATTATTTTACTGTTTAAAGACGCAAATCTTTATGAGAGATGTCGTTACGGAGCTCAGGGACAACATGTGCTGTTCGCAGTTGTATCTATAACCGGACTAAACTAATTCAGTGGCTTAAACGGGATTGTTTTGAACATAAGCTGAAAACGAAATCAGAGTGATCCTGCCAACGACTGTAACGTTAGTTTCCATCACCTCCCAAAAGACGACGAATCTTCCTGTGTACATTTTGTTTAAATTCTTAATATTCTATAAACTCTATCAGCATGTGATTGGCTGTTCGCTACTGATGTTACACCTAAACTCAGGAGTTGACAGAATACCAAATGTGCCAGTTAATGTATTCAAGCAGCACATTCATTTATAATTTTGAATAAACTCCAAAGCACAATGACTAAGTGTGTGTTTTTTATTTTAAATGTTTGTCAGCTCACAACTGTCTGTCACCATGCCTTGTCTTGATGAGTATTGATTATTAATAATGTTATTATAATACTCCCAATCAACTACTGCGGAGGGTAAAGGTACTGTTATTCACCCTTTTTAATTTCGTTGAGGTTGTGTTCCCACATCGTTAGCTAGTTTGGATCGCTATAACTTGAATGACTGTCAACTGTTGAATGAACAAGCGTCAAGCATGTCAAATCGCTCTTTGTTTACTTCCAACCGGAAGTCGCGCCCACTTTTGACGCAAGGCCTCATGGGGCGTAGGAAACTTGTGGATACTAAAAGTTTGGACGGGGGAGGGGAATTGTTTTCCTTCCAGAAAATCTAAAAGCCAAGGGGAAAAATGATTGGCGTGATCTAGCTCTATGTGCGAGACCCATTCACAACTAACGTTACTGGTAAATGTCGACATGCTTAACAAAAACACCTATTACTTGGAAACATTGACGGTTCTTTGGTCATAACATAAAATAAGACGATTAAAAAAAACAAGACAAAGGCTCACTGACATACTTTAAAATATATTTCAGCATTTTGTTAATCAACGTTTTACTAACGTTACCCCTTAACTTAACCCAATCCGATCGCGGCTCTCCCGGTATTAGTGTTATTCCACCAGATTTATTGATAAGCTGTTTGATTTATAATTATTAAGATTATTTTCACATACCCTGCTGTGTATGAACATAGCTGTTCCTCAATTTGTGTTTCCCATTTGAACGGTCAGCGTATGAGGCGCTGTTGCTTGCGCTGGGACTATAACGTTAGGCTTTAACTTCAATTTTTAAGAAATTATTCTCTAATCGGTTGCATATAATGTCGTGAATATATCCCTCGAATGCATACTGTAGTCCCTTTTGTCTTGCTCTCTCATTTATTTCACTTGTTCGCCGAAAATTACTAATTATCTCATTGGGAATGTCTGACACCGGGTGCATCCACACTATAATAGATGGGCCAGCCGCGAAAGCTTGACAGGCGTAGCAACAGTAAGGAGGGCGGGGCTTAGCGAAGGGTCAATTCAAATGTTTTCTTTACCGGATCTCTTAGCGCGGTGTAGTAACAGTGTTGCTTGATCGAGATCGGCTCGCGCTGCACAGATGTTGCTGGTCCGAACTGATAAACGATCCGTGAAGCACATAACGAGTTTCGTTCTGCTTTCATTACGCTTGCCATTTGATGTTGCGCAACGTTGTGTCGGCCGCGTCAGCACGAATTTTGCCGGCAGGAAAAATGGTCCAAGCAATCGTTCGGTTTGTATGCGTACCGAACCGGAAGCCTCGAACCGAAACGGTTCAATACGAATACATGTACCGTTACACCCCTAGTTGTGAGTGACTGACGAGGTGTGTTGTGAGTGACTGATGAAGCTTGTGTGTTGTGAGTTACCGAGGCGTGTGTGTTGTGCTCCGCCAGGCGAGTGAGTGACGAGGTGTCTGTGTGTGTTGTGCTCCTTTAGGCGAGTACGCTGGGTTCGACGAGTCTCAGCCCACGGCGCAGTCGGGGGGGAAGGGCGCGGTGATCCGGGGTCTGAAGGAGCGCTACGGCTTCGAGACGGTGGTGATGATCGGAGACGGAGCCACTGATCTGGAGGCCTGTCCTCCTGCGGTGAGTTCCAGAGTGCGTCTCACACACACACACACCAAATATGCCCCGCCGCAGAAGCACGATAACACACGTCATTACAGCCCAGATAGCGAACTGACATTGAATCAACGTGGAAATATGACATCGAAACAACGTTGATCTGACATTGTTTTGCTCATCGAATTAACGTTGAACCAACGTCAGACGCGTCATTCTTTCAAAACTAGCGGAAAATCAACTTGAAATCAACGCGTTGTTTCAACGTTATGAAAGCAAACCAATTTTCGATTTTCATTTAGCTTTGAAGAATGCCGCGTCTGACGTTGGTTCAACGTTAATTCGATGAGCAAAATCAACGTTGTTTCAATGTCATGAGAGACGTCGTTTCCACGTTGATTCAATGTCAGTTTGCTGTCTGGGCGGAGATCATCGCTGCGGCCGAATAATCTGAAGATTGAAACACATGACTAATAAACACACGACTGCCTTATTCTGTGTGAAGCGCATCATCTCACAGAAGGAAGAGCTCAGCTGTCGTTATGGAGTAAAGCGATGTTTAAAAACACAACTTTGAAAGTATCGAGATAAACATTGTTTTGGTCAAGATTGCACAGTATTCATTTTGATTTCTTCAGGTCTTGGGGTCGTAGGTTAAGTTGCGGTCGTGTCTTTTCAGAGCGCGTTCATCGGGTTCGGGGGGAACGTGGTGCGGCAGCAGGTGCGGGAGCAGTGCTCGTGGTACGTCACCAGCTTCGGGGAGCTGCTGAAAGAGCTTGAGAAGATCTAGTGGAGCACAGACCCCAGTCAGCACCATCTTTGTGCCTTTCCTAGTTTTTATCTAATTTTTAATGTCGATATGTTTTAGTTTACTGAAATGGTTGTTTAAATAGAACATATTGCAAGAGGCCAGTTTTTCTGTGATTGAACCTGATTAACACTAACAACTGTATCCATACTTGAAGAGAACTCTTATAACAGTGAATAAAACCAAGTAACAGCCGTCGGCCGTCTTTTATGTGTGTGAACATGACACGACTTGGATGATCATTTATGATTTATTGAATACAGTGTTTAGTTGATTTGAAATATTTCTGTGCTGTTAAATCCCAGAATGAGACCAGCGTACAGTAGATTGCGCATGCGCACAGGAAACAAAATCAATCTAGAAACCGAAACACAGAAGGCATGTAAAATGTAGAAACAGAACACAAATAAAATACAGCAACTAAATCAATTTAATTTTGCACACCTGTCCCCAGTTAGGCTTTTCCCGTCCCAGTTCAATCCGTTTGATATGTTTTCTCTGAACATGTCGGATAGATTCTGCTGTGCTTGTCATAATGCACTATTAAAACTTTTAATCCTCTCCATGTGGGGTTTATATTAACACAAATAAATATGCAATAAATAGGTGAGTAGATTGCAAGATTGTTTGGAAATATTGCAAAGATTTATGGGGCTTAAGGGTTAACGCTCAAAACTGCTAATGTTTATGGTGATTCAATGCACTATACAGCCCTTCTTTCATATAGCAACAAACTTTATTTAACAGATCTATGGTTGTGTTTTTCCAAGCAGATTTTAGATATGGCTAATGCAATACATCATATAAAGTATTCACAAAACTTAGTACAGTAACAGCCTTCACGTCCACTGAATCAATTTGGTTTGCTGGTGCAACTTTTGGATAGTTTTTCCGATCAGAACGAGGGCGTTGCGTGTGGCATCATGACGACAGAGAATGCATCCGATGTCTTGGTCTGGGCTTCAGCTCACGGGGACGTAACGGTGAGGATCTGATGGACTGGTTACTGCAACGGAGACCCTTTCAGTGGGATCATTATCCTGGACTCCATGTGCTGAATGAGGGGCACTGGAAACAGATTCAGAGGCGGCTTTTACCACCACTTGTGACGTATTGTACACAATAATTTAGTGCCACATTACAATGGACCAGTCAGCTGTAAGCTTGACGCTAGACTTCAGCAACAATAAAACGAAAACAACATTAATTGAAAATAAAATATTGACACAAAATTTTACTTTCATGGAGTCTTAGAATAGCAGAAGTTGCTGCTCTTTTCTATTCAATAAAGATACATGCCAAGTCAAATAAATGACTTAAAGTGCCCCTATTATGCTGTTTTAGATATTTCCTTTCATATAGTGTGTAATAGTACGGAGGCGTATTGCATTCACTTGAAGAAAAAAAATCTACTCTGTTTTTCTGAATTAATGAGTTAATTTTTCATGAGAAATTTTTTTTTTCTGTTTTTCTGAATTAATGAGTTAATTTTTCATGAGAAATTTTTTTTTTGCTCTGTTTTTCTGAATTAACGAGTTAATTTTTCATGAGAAATTTTTTTTTGCTCTGTTTTTCTGAATTAATGAGTTAATTTTTCATGAGAAAAAAAGTTTTTCTCCGTTTTTCTGAATTAATGGGTTAATTTTTCATGAGAAAATATTTTTTTCTCTGTTTTTCTAAATTAATGAGTTAATTTTTCGTGAGAAAAAAAGTTTTTGCTCTGTTTTTTCTGAATTAACTCGTTAATTCAGAAAAACAGAGCAAAAAAAAAAATTCCATGAAAAATTAACTCATTAATTCAGAAAAACAGAGAAAAACTTTTTTTCTCATGAAAAATTAACTCATTAATTCAGAAAAACAGAGCAAAAAAAAAATTTCTCATGAAAAATTAACTCGTTAATTCAGAAAAACAGAGCAAAAAAAATTCTCATGAAAAATTAACTCATTAATTCAGAAAAACAGAGTAGATTTTTTTTTCTTCAAGTGAATGCAATACGCCTCCGTATAATAGAGCTGTTTACGAATGTAGAAAGTCTGCAGAATTTCAAAGGGCAGATAAAATTATTGTCACTTAAAAGAAAGAATCGATTCTTAACTGCTGAAACTTCAGTCTCGTTTCCTGTCACAAACATACAAACAATGTAACAAACTAGCATACCGTAAAACTTCAAATAATAGCCCGGGCTTTTATTATCCCAAATCGTCGAACTGCACCGGCTTGTATTTGAATTTGAGATGTTGTTCATTGAGTCTCTAATCTCTAAAAATCTCCAAATGCCCCACGTGAAACTGCGGTCTTCCAACCTTTCACTATCGATTGATTTGATCAATATGCATGAGGGAGAGAGAGCAAGACAGCGCTTGTGTTTGAAGACGTGAGAGTATGCGTGCGTGCGGCCGGGCGCTCTCGCTCTCTGCTCATTATGCGTCTTGTCAAGCCCAGCATCACTCACCGATCAAAATAGGCTTTGGAGGGACAAAAATTTGCTTTGGCGGGCCCCCAAACGGACAATCTGACGGTTTTAGAAGATTAACAACCCGAAACTAAAAAACAGAACCGGCCTCGATTTGAGACCGGCTTTTATTTACCAAACCTGGAGACACAGCAGGTGTAATAAGACAGGCGTCTATTTGGGACTCGCATATTATTTTAAGTTTTAATGTAATGCTGCCCTAAAAACAGTGTATATAAAGACACCCTTTTCTGCAGGGCCGGCTCTAGGTTATTTGGTGCCCAAGGCGAGAGTGCCCGTTAATTTTTAGTAAAAAAAAACGAAAAATATTTTCTTCATGTGTCAAAAAAAAAAAAAAATCCAGCATAAATCTGAAAATTTTTACACAGAAATGAAGGCCTAGTACTAGAGCATAAATGCAATGTATCATTAAAAAAAAATTCATATGCAAGCTAATGTAGTTGAGGAATTGTGTGGTATATGGATACAAAAGTACCTTATATCTCCAAAAACACAGCATTAATGAATAGATGAGAAGTAAACAAAAAAAAAAAAAAATATATATATATATATATATATATAATATTTGTATGATTAAAAATTTCTATTTTTTGTACAATTACTCAATCAATTGTTTGGGTCGTATAGACACCGAAGCCCAGAAGTGTAAACAGGAAACGAAGACCATTTGAAGGTTAATATAACGCAGACGAACTAGCGCTGATGAAAGCCGAATGTGTTGTCGCCTCTCGTCGGGGTAAAAAGCTGCACTTGCACCATAACTTGAACACACCGAGAGATCTACAGGCGACTGTGAGCTATAATGTGCATTCTGCGCCTGCGTGCAATGAGCCAACTGTCTATTTCTGCAGATATATTAGTCTATATTCGTCATTCAAAAAGGAAAACCGACGCTGTCGGCCGGCTGCAGATACACATAACGTAAACAAAGCAGCGCGTGCCAACCATTTTGAATATACACGGGCATTCCCTTGTCAACATGTCGAATCGGGCGAAAACAAAACCGACGAGGACTATTGAGCCGAAGGCAAGGAACCGTGCAGACCAATCAGAGCAGAGTAAACCAATCACAACAGACTAGGCCATCTGACCAATCAGAGCAGAGTAGACCAATCACAACAGACTAGGCCATGTGACCAATCAGAGCAGAGTAGACCAATCACAACAGACTAGGCCATCTGACCAATCAGAGCAGAGTAGACCAATCACAACAGACTGGACCACCTGACCAATCAGAGCAGAGTAGACTCTCAGAAAGGAGGGGTTAAGAGAGACTGAATCTTTGAACGAACCGTTTTCAGACTCTCAGAAAAAAAGAGGTGATGCTGCAATGTAACTACAAGAAAATGAAAGTGTTTTGTGACGTTGGATGCATGTAAAACAAAAATAATTTGAAACCTTTAAAAAAGCATAATAGTGGCACTTTAAATGACCGGTATAGTACACAGCAGAGCAGAGAAATGTCTAACATAAAATGCATGGCAAAAATGGGTCCCTCTTTATATTAAGTGGCTTTAAGTACTATGTTCTTACATTGAAATTAATAATTTGATACAATGGACTTATTGAGTACATACATGTTTTTACATTGTAATACTTTTAAACCTACCCAAACCACACACACACACCTGTCTCTAACCGGACCTCTGTCACACCTCGATAGCAGCGAAAGTGTTTTACAATACAACATCTACACAATAAGTACATTGTACTTAGTCACTTAACATAAAGTGTGACCCAGAACTGTAAAGCAGTGTGTAGCCGCTTGTGTACCGGTGTAATAGACGACTTCATCCCAGCCCTCGTGCTGCCAGGCGGCGTTCCTCGTGTCCTCTCGGGACTGCAGGTCCTTGTACGCTGCAACACACACACCACAGAAATGCCCATGAAGATCACAACCCAACGTCCATCAGCATCCGTGCTCCGGGAGCCATGTGTGCACTCTTACCCCAGAGATGGTGGACCATATAGAGGCTTCCGATCTGGGAGAAGAAGCCGCCGACGGCCTCGCGGTTGTGCTGCCGGTAGCCGATAGCTCGCGCCCTGAGGAACAGGGACAACATCACAGGTCCCTGACCAAACGTCTATTCAGAGCAAGACCTGGCAGACGCTTCAATCTAAAGTGACTGGAGTTGCAGTCAAGATTGGTCTTTTTTCATGTGAATGCATTGACTGGGAATCGATCCCATGTTCTTGCTATTGCTGCTGCCACATTTGACCGTTTCAGCGTCCCTCACACTTTGTAACACAGAGATTGTAACACTCGCGGGTCAAAATGACCAGATGCCATAAAATTATACTCACATTTTTTTTTTTTCCAGAAATCTTTTTATTTTGAACAATTCTCATGACTCTGTGGCTCTATATGGAGTAAATGAGATGTTCCGCTGGGTCCTAAAGTCAGTTTTTCTTCAGGATGCATTCAGATACACATGCACACATTATAAAATAAATTTTTGGTAACATTTTTGGTCAAAATGACCCGAGGGAAGGGAATTAATTGTTGCCGAAAGGTGTTTTGCACCAAAAAAACGTGATGAGAAAGCAGTCCGCATGTGATGATTGATGTGAACAGGTCTTGAGAATCACAGAAGCGCACTGTCAAAAATGTGTGTGAATCAAAAGTCTAGCCAAGTTGTGTTCCAAATTTTGAGCTGATATCACAAAAAATATAGCGGATTTGAAGAACTTTTTCCAAATTAGTTTTCATATTAAAGGAGAACTCCGGCGAACAATGAACCTTTGGTCTAATAAGACATCGGTACCTAGTCAATCGTTCTCTGAGATTTGTTTTCATGATTATCGAATGTAAAGAGTTTTATCTCTAAAAACTGTTTAGCGTATAATGCTAGTAATGGGGGCATTGAGTAAGTAAAAAGAAATCGCTAGTTTATACCACTAACAAGGCTCAAAATAGCCCCACACTAACACAGTAACATAATGAGGGTCCATACATGCAAAACGAAGCATTGGGAACTTTGTAAGTGTACAGACCGTTTAATAAGAAGATACTTTATGAAGACAGTTCACTTCGCGTATACAGACAGGAGCCATCTTAAAAAATAGTCTCGATAAGTCGATCCCCGAACGCCATTCATACAGTTCAGAAGTTCGTTGAACTTCATAGAGTTCAGCTCACTCAGCACGACGTTCGTGGTTCGACTTATCGAGACTATTTTCATCTGTTACTGTGTTAGTGTGGGGCTATTTTGAGCCTTGTTAGTGGTATAAACTAGCGATTTCTTTTTACTTAGTCAATGCCCCCAGTACTAGCATTATACGCTAAACAGTTTTTAGAGATGAAACTCTTTACATTCGATTATCATGAAAACAAATTTCAGAGAACAGTTGACTATGTACCGATGTTTTATTAGACCAAAGGTTCATTGTTCGCCGGAGTTCTCCTTTAACTCGATGTCCAATTTCAAAACGGTTTTCACAGGATGAATTCTGAGTGTTTAATGACACCTAATTATGGAGATTACTGTGATGTGTGATACGCACAACCGGCGCTGCGTCATAGAATGTCTCTGAATAGGTTCACGCCCACTTTTGGGGGAAAACAAACTAGACTCCCCATAGACTTCAATACAAAATAACAGCAAAAACCAACGTCCGTACACAGCCGAGAGACGTAAATAACTTAAGAAATCACTTATGTATAAAACATGTCAAGTAATTATAGGTCCACCCTGCCAGCCATAGAGCGTGAAAGATCCATACACAAACTTAATTTGGCCAATTTAAAAACATGTCCCTTCATTCTCCCAGCGTCATATTGGGGTAACAACCCCACCCAGTGGCCAGAGGTAAGTAAAAAACCTTAATGTGTATATTATGAATTTATGATGATGATGGCAGGTAGCCTGGGCAAGATTACGGGCATAACAAAATGCATCTTTCACGCTCTTTGGCAGGCAGGGTGGACATATAATCTAATAATATTATATAATAATATTATATAAGTGATTTCTTAAGTTATTTACGCCTGTCGGCTGTGTACGGACGTTGGTTTTTGCCGTTATTTTGTATTGAAGTCTATGGGGAGTCTAGTTTGTTTCCCCCAAAAGGGGGCGGGGAAAAAATTGACAGTTAAGTTCCCGGATGTGCCGGTTGTGCGTATAGGGAAAAGGCAATAAAAGACAGATAACAGGCGATACAGGTGTGTTGTGTTAGAGGAACAAATTGCTTGTATTCTTACCAATAGTTGCCCCACTCAATCATGGTCCCGGGCTGCAAGACAACAACAAAAACAGATAACTGTAAATCTGAGTGCCGAGCTCATCTCATCCCTGAGGACTTAAACCAGGACTGGCGATGATGTACAGCATACGCGACTTGTAATATAAGATAAAGCAACATTACGAACCCGGCAAGCTGAACGGCGCGTCTGAAGACAGATTGGCAAGTTCGGTTCTGTTTCAAATAATCATTCCACACCGATTCAGCAAAAGCCCCTTTCACACTGCAATCCCGGTAAAGTACCGTCAAACCGCTAAATACACACAAGCACCGGCGTTCTGCTATTTACCGGCAAGAGAGCATTCACACACCAGCAGCAAAAAACCGGTCAATTCTGACTTCTCGGCTTTGTACACACAGATACCGGTGATCTTCATTGTGCGTTCACACTGAGCTCATCCTGGTGACGTTACACCTTCCCTTACTGGTAAATCGACAGAACCAATTCGCCAGTATTTTTGAAAAGGTCCTGTTCACACATGATCTCTAAACGGTACACTACCAGTCAAGACTGTGTGTGTGGAAGGGGCTTATGTTTCCGTCATCACTCACAAACTCTGTTTACAGAGATCACGTTACTTCGATTTTTAGCTAAACGAGTGCGTTTCCCAAAAGCATCGTGAGCCAACTTTGGTCGCAAGTTCTGTTGTTATCACCAGCTTAAAGGATAACTCTGGTATTTAACACCTTGAGTCTATTTTGTAGTTTGTTTTGAATGAAATAGAGTGGTGGACTTAGAAATTGACATTGGGTCCTAGAATCGCCTGTGACAGCGTTAGACTGGGTGTCTATGGGCATGCACAAACATGCCCTTAAAACAACCCCTAACGTTCATTTTCAAAAATGTGCAACTCACCGAGTGGTTGGTGGTGTTCGTTGATGTTCCGAAACAAGTAACGAAATAGCGTTTCTGTCGTGTTTTATTTGTCGTTTTTTAAAATCGTTAAAAAATACAACATTTGGTTGTAGTCTTTTCGCGATCGGTTCTCCGTCTCTCAGAAGGCTAGCGTGAGCAGAGCAACTTTTTTTACGGTGCGCTAGACACTGTGTTCCATACAGCGTCCTGGTTGTCGCCATCAAGTGGTCGGGAGTGTGCTAACGCTTCAGACTCAAATATCGAGCGGAAGTTTATACGCGGTTGTGAGGTATCTGAAAAAAATAGTTCCACAATAGCAAACAACACGGATTGAAAGCATACATAGCGCCGATATATTTGTTTTTAATCATCAACGAACACCACCAACCACTCGGTGAGTTGCACAGTTTTGAAAATGAACGTTAAGGGTTGTTTTAAGGACATGTTTGTGCATGCCCATAGACAGCCAGTCTAATGCTGTCACAGTCGATTCTAAAAAAGCCAAAAAGTCGAGACAGGACCCATTGTCAAACAAAATTTCTAAGTCCACCACTCTATTTCATTCAAAACAAACTACAAAATAGACTCAAGGTGTTAAATACCGGAATTATCCTTTAAACGAGTCGGTGTTTCCCGAAACCATCGTTCTAACGAACATTCGCAAACAGCATCGCAGAGTTGTGTGTGTGAGCGACGGCTCTCGAGCTGCGGTTAGAAGAGTTTCTAAATTGTGTGAAGTGGACTAAATCCTTAGGTTGTGCTGAATGTTAGCTTGCTTATTTTGCTCAAGTTGCGTCTTTTATTTAGAATAAATACAAAGGTCATTTACGTCTTTGAGTTTGTCAAGAGACATAAAGCACCGTTTTTAAAGACTGCGCATGTGTGAACGTGCTCTACTGTGTAAGAACGAGCCTATGATTGAATCTGGAAATAAAGCGATATAACAGAGAAATTAGAAATTTTCCTCAGATGACATGTCTGTAATTTATTTCAAAACATCTAGCATTAATTTCAAACAGTTTCATTAAAAAGAAGTTATTACTCCACCACGTCATAAACCAACGTGTTTGAACCTCGAACGACCACTTTGCGACAGTATGGCTTCGGGAAAACAATCGTGACTAGCTTCTTCTATAGTAGTGAAGCAGGGGGTTAAAGGGGTGATAAAGAACTGAGAAATCAAATTTTCCTTGAGCTTTTGACATCTAAGAGGTCATCATATTATAAGAATATCCTGTAAGTTTCAGAACTGAAAACGTCCTTGTTAGTCCAATAAAAGCTTTTATTGACACCAGCCTCAGCAAACGCTGGGTCGAACATGTATGGGCATGCATGACCTTTTCAAAACAATTTCCCCCAAGTGCACCGACGGGTGAGTTAAACTCATTATAATATGCAAAACTGTTCTCCACTCACAGCAGTGGGCGTTTACTTCCAAGTCTTCAGTGCGACACGCCCATAAAACTGACCGTTTTTCAGCTAGGCTCAAAACTAGGGTACAAAATAGCCTATTACTTATTCATTTTGATGTTTTTGAATGCAAAAACCAAGCGAACGTCATAAGTTGACCTCCGACAACAATATAATAACATTTAAAAAGCCAGTTCATGACCCCTTTAAACACAGCCCTGCTCAACTGTAGCCCAGACGATAAGTAGCGCACGTGCAGTCCTGGTAAGGGTTGCAGGCACACACTCACCCGCAGCTGGTAGGAGCGCAGCTCGTAGATGTTGGGCCCGTCTCTGGGCACGGGCTCGTTCCAGAAGCTGAACTCCAGCAGCAGCTGATTCCTGCGGGACAGCAGCATCTGACCCCTCTCCTTCCGGTACTCCAGGAACTCCTGCGCTCGGCACACGACACACAGCAATGCTTTTCCTCCGACTTTCAACTGTAACTTGTGAACCTTTAAAGGCAGCTTTACTGTGAGCTACGAGGTTGATTGCTAACCGATTGTGTTTGTTTCAGCCGAAGCCGTCAGCCCACATTGATTCACATCGCTTAACAGAGGTGGAAAACTACGTTACCCATGATGCTGTGCAGAGAACTCCAATCAGAGTCAAAACCCGCCTAAAGATCTCATTAGCTCCGCCCACTCCTATGAAACACAGCCAATGACAATCGCCTCCGTCTCCCTTCAAAATATTTGAATGTACTGTATATATCTTGCAATAAACTTAAAATATATTCTTTATATATACTCTTTCACTAAAGCCGTTATGAGTGTTGGTTTGGATCATGGCTATTAACGCTTTAATAAAGGCTTTTTTGAAATCCCTATGGGAGAAATGAATGGAAAAATTAAGATGCTTCTGAGAAAGTGGGAGGAACTAATGCGCTCTCTGGAATGCTTGATTCTGATTGGCTGGTTGTGTCATTTCGAGATGTGTTATTCACCAATAACAGCTGTTGTCAATAGTAACGCTGAAAGACATCCCCCAATCCGGGTATCTAAGGCCGTGTTGCCGGATTGGGCGGGTTCGGGTTTGGGTTTGGTTGTAGGGGAAATCCAAATTTTATGGGCTAATTGGTTAATAAACAAAGCTCAAGTGTGCATGTACTCCATAAAATCAGTTATCGTGATGCTGCTAACACAGGCTGGCGTTGTTGGGGTTTATGGTACGTTCATCTAAGGTTTGAATCAACGATTAATCAGTTTTGACCGTGCTAGACTGTTGTAATGTGTACTTCATGAAAGACGTACTAGTTCAGTTTAAAGGTAAAGCACAACACAAAGGTAACAAATTTAACACATATTACACGTTTTTGGCTTTTAAGGTGTGCACATGGTTTAAAGTTGATTCATTTCTTGACTGCCATTTGCAAACCTTTGACATATTTCAAACGTTTTTGTCATTTTCTCACTGTATTTGCCACGGTTCGATCTGTTTTCCTGGTCTACTGTTCCCCTGGCAGGAGAATTTCTGCATTTTATCAATTTATTTTGCCATCATTATTTGTTTTTAAGGGGGTAAATGTTGGTTGTCATGACAACAGAACTCGACCACACTCACAGCGGCTGCCATCTTGTGTTTCTGATATATTTATCGACTATATTGCAAGTTAAATCAATTAACAGTCCTCTAATTTTGTTGCTGTGTTTATTTGCTTTTCTACACTGTAATGGATTATAAGATAATAAACAGGAACATTTAACAACCGTTTCAATCACGAATCAATATCTCTTATCCCCATAATTATTACAAGCCGCGTAATAAGTGATTTGAATGCACTTTATCTCTTAAAGGTGCAGTGTGTGATTTTTAGCAGCATCTAGTGGTAAGGTTGCGAATTGCAGCCAACAGAAGGTGGCCGACAGGAAGTGATGTCGTCGTCTGAGACGGCAGAAAGGAGACAGTTACTTATTGTTACTTCATCATTGTATCAATGTTTTATTCGCCATCTTCTTTGCACGAAGAACAAAACAGTAACGAAACGCGTTTGTCCACTCAGGGCCACCGTAGAAACATGCCAATGTAAGTGTACATAGAAATATATAGATGAAACGCCTCATTCTAAACCAATAAAAACATAACGCTTCTTTAAGAAAGGTCTTTATACACCACTGAAAACATAGTTATGTGTATTAAATTGCATTTCTGTCAACAGATCCGCCTAAATATTACACACTGCACCTTTAAATGTTCGTCTAGTTTGAACTTCAGTCGCCTTGCCTGAAAGAAGTTTGGAAGTTTAGTGTGCTAATACAATTTTTAAACTCAAGTCAATATTCCATGTCTAAATGCAAGTATCCATTTAATAAACGGGATAATGTACATCCAGCCGGCTGTTATCGCAGAATAAACCGCTTCAGGCGGATACAAGACCTGACCCTGATCACCATGTCGGGTTTATTCTGCGATAACAACTGTTATATCTCTATCGCATTCAATCAGCACAAGTATTCAACAAAACACATGCCATTTCAGCCATACATATTAATACTATAAAACTCAATATGAAATGAAGCAGCAATTCTTGGTGTATATTCACGACACAAAAGCAGAAGATTTCCGGTTCTAGATTACCTTGTTATTCTTCAGTTTATTCATGACTTCAGTGAGAGCTGGATATCCTCCTCTGTACCGCCACAAGTGCACTACAGTGAACCAGATGCAAAGTCACAGCGTGTCAGAAACACATCTATTTAACCCTTCCGTGACCCTCCGACGCCAAAACTCTCGTTCCAAACACACTCTACCGATGGTGAGGTATTTACCGGCTTGGTCTTGCTCCCCGTACCAGGTGTTCCACGTGCCCACCAGCTCACACGGGTAATGCTTGTCATCGTGGATGGCCGGCAGCACCTCGTTACTGTGGAGACAAGGCCGGTCACATCAGCCAATCACATCAGCCTCTTCTGACACAATACTACACAAGGGACACGGGCAGGCTCCATGCTAGCGTACAAACCATAGCAAGACTAGAACAACTTTACAGGTCATTTATTACAGTTATGGACAAAAAAATGTTGATAAATATCACATTTCAGTTAAATTTAATAAATGAATAATCATTTCATATACACACTCACCGGCCACTTTACACCGGCTGCATCAGTTCAATACTGTAAATGTGGTCTATTGCACAGTATTGTAGATTGTACGATATTTGGTTTAAGGCCTTCAATTTTTAAAACTGAATTTAAGGACCTGCATAGACCCTGGGAAACTAGAGAAGAACAGGTTTCATACATATAAAAAAAAACACTGTCTGATTCAAAAACACTGTCTGATTCAAAACTGTCTGATTCAAAAACACTGTCTGATTCAAAACTGGCTGATTCAAAAACACTGTCTGATTCAAAAACACTGATTGAAAACACTGTCTGATTCAAAAACACTGTCTGATTCAAAACTGTCTGATTGAAAAACACTGTCTGATTGAAAAACACTGTCTGATTGAAAAACACTGTCTGATTCAAAACACTGTCTGATTCAAAACACTGTCTGATTTGAACACTGTCTGATTCAAAAACACTGTCTGATTCGAACACTGTCTGATTCGAACACTGTCTGATTCGAACACTGTCTGATTCGAACACTGTCTGATTCAAAACACTGTTTCAAAACACTGCACTGTCTGATTCGAAACACTGTCTGATTCGAAACACTGTCTGATTCGAACACTGTCTGATTCGAAACACTGTCTGATTCGAACACTGTCTGATTCGAAACACTGTCTGATTCGAAACACTGTCTGATTCAAAACACTGTTTCAAAACACTGCACTGTCTGATTCAAAAACACTGTCTGATTCAAAACACTGTCTGATTTGAACACTGTCTGATTCAAAACACTGTCTGATTCAAAAACACTTGTCTGATTCAAAAACACTGTCTGATTCGAACACTGTCTGATTCAAACACTGTCTGATTCAAAACACTGTTTCAAAACACTGCACTGTCTGATTCAAAACACTGTCTGATTCGAACACTGATTCGAACACTGTCTGATTCGAAACACTGTCTGATTCATACACCGTCTGATTCGAAACACCGTCTGATTCAAAACACTGTTTCAAAACACTGTTTCAAAACACTGCACTGTCTGATTCAAAACACTGTCTGATTCGAACACTGATTCGAACACTGTCTGATTCGAAACACTGTCTGATTCATACACCGTCTGATTCGAAACACCGTCTGATTCAAAACACTGTTTCAAAACACTGCACTGTTTGATTCGAACACTGTCTGATTCGAACACTGTCTAATTCGAACACTGTCTGATTCAAAACATTGTCTGATTTGACCGCTTTGAGACATTCTGACACATTTGCGTTTGACTCAGCGTGTGATTGGTCAGTGCGTCTCAAGTCTCGTCGAGGTCTCCTTGTGGCATTGTGCCGATGCGTAGAGCAGTAAACACTCGAGGAATGAGGAGTGGGCTTTAGCGGACCCTGCCAATCACAGACAGAAATAGAAGGCAGGACATTTGCTAGTCTGAACTTCAGTAGACAGTAAACCAGTTTGGCCTCAAGGGACTCTGAAGACGTTAAAAACAGCTTGATTTATGTCATTAACACCGAACAGAGTCACCTGACCTGGTGCTTTGACGTGACTCACCACAGTTTGTTGTATGCCTCGAGACACTCGGGCTTCACGTTGTGAACTACAACACAACAACACATATGTGAGTCAGTAACACATCACATTGGCATTGAGATGTTTTACAGCGGAGGGCAAACACTCAGCAGAGCTTACACTGTATTTTGTACAAGTTGTTGTCCTCTTTCTTGGCTAACAGATGTGAGTGAGCGTCTTTCCTCGGATCCACCTTCCGCACAAACAGTGATTTGAACCAGCTGTCCTCGCGCTGCCGGTTAGTAGACGCTGACAGACCCCTGAAACAGGACAATATATGTGGGTTAAACAATGAAAACCATCCCATAATTTGCCTTTATTAACCCTCTGGGGTCGTGTGGATTACTTTTATAATGGATGGATGTGCTTTTTGGCCTTTAAAATCTTAGTTACTATTCGCTCCCATTGTAAAACTGGGAAGAGCCAAGACATATTTAATATAACTTTGATTGTGTTCGTCTGTCATTCACGTACAGTGGCTTGAATTGAGGGTGAGTAAATTATGGGATAATGTTCATTTTTGGGTGAACTAAACCTTTAAACTGATACAACAGACAGGTAACTTTGCATTATGAAACCATACACATTTGTATTTTTTTCCCATGTCACATAATCTAAGTAGTCAGTAATTGTGGTTGTATTACAGGACGTCATAATGGGTTTCCAATATTGTGCATGTGTCATTCATCAGTTAAACTATTACAGCCGTTCATTAACCAGTGCATGAAAACTGAAACGCCAAATCTATATGTTGTGATCATCATAAAACACACGTGATGTTCTGCTGAATTACTATGACCTTGAGCAGTGTATTCAGCGCACGCTTTTAGACGCCTGCGACATATAACGTACATAGCAAACTATAGCAGTCGAGCTGCGTAAACACACACTTTTCAATCAAGCAAATAGTGAAGTTTTCTATGTTTGAATACCTTCTAGAGCAATCACGCCTTTACTAATGCGCCCTGCGTTTCTAATCTCCCGTGAACCCGCGGTATCTGCGCACTAAAGCACTAATCACGCAGATTTATAACGTGCAATGGAGATAAACAGACTGACCTGATAACAGCAGTAACGTGTGCCTTCGCCCGGCCTGTGTTTGTAGCCCGGTACAGGCCCGAGCAGGAGCTCTGAAGGACTCTGGTCGCCATCTTTCACTGAGGACACAAACAGCAGGAGAGGAAAGAGTTAAACTCCCGCAGTGCGATGCGCCGCCACGAGGGGCGCGATAGAGACGCGTGCAGTTCACTAGCGGCCGCGAGGGGGCGCAACACAGACGGACTGTAGTTTATTATTTTATTTTTTCCTCCTCCAGGAAGTCCTGGTCTAGATGGCTCTATTAAGTTTCACATTTAAACAGAGATACACCACTTAAACAACAAATAAAATGAATATAAAAGTGAATAATAAATAAAAATAGCAACACGATTACTTAAGTGTAGCGTGTAATAGTTTTTTTAAACACATTAATAGAGGGGATTGATTCTAGAGTAGCCAGGCTTGCACATCAAAATCAATGTGGACAAAAAAAAAAAGAGAGATTTACCAACATTCTCTCTCAGTGTGACTGTTTGAGACTGTGGACAGGTGTATTTTATACAGATAACAGGTTCAAACAGGTGCCAATAATACAGGTAACAAGTGGAGGACAGAAGAGCTTCTTAAAAAAAAAGTGTGGAGGCATCTTGTGTGTAGTGGCGGCAAATGAGCTTAGGGAGGGAAACCTTCAGGAAAAATCCCGGTGCCTTTTGTAGACATAACTCCCAGAATGTGACATCTGGCATGACTCGAACAACAAGATCTTTCTGTGTCCACACCACAAAGTCACAGTATTTGGACTCACAAAGATCTGTGTCTGCACCTGTGTGTAGTATCTGTGGCCTTATAAACGTAAAAATGTGTTGTCCATAAGTAGGATGACAGAAGTCCCGGTCACCATTACAAGCCTCCTGGACAGTGGTTTTCTTGTGCTTTGCTGGACACTTTATTTCCGGGCAGCCTTTCCCACATTAGATACAGTGAAGTAATCCATCGGGTGAAGCGCCTACTTGTGGAAACCCAGGGTTGATGCAGAATCAAGACAGCTCAATTTTCAGGTCAGTGTGTTGTGGTGCTTGTTTGGCCTCCTTGCAGTTGTCTCATGTTCAATTCCCCATCTTGTGTCTTGTGTAGTCAACAGTGCTGTTGGGTAGCACACCTTTCGCACCATGGACACAGCTTCTCAATGTTGTAAACAACAACTGCATGCATAGCTGAGGCGGTTACTCTTCCTGCCCGTACTCCATACCAGGCAGATGACTGATATATATTTCCCAACACATGAACATTTCTTAGTCAACTCAACTCTCTTTCAGTACAAGGAACACATAGGACGTGCTATATATAAAACATGACAATATCAGTCAGATTTACAACAGTGAGATAAACACACACACACACACACACGTGAATAATATATCTACAGTGGGGCCAAAAAGTATTTAGTCAGCCACTGATTGTGATTGAAGTTCTCCTAGTTAGAATGATGAGAGAGGTCTGTAATTTTCATCTTAGGTACACTTCAACTATGAGAGACAAAATGTAACTCCCAAATGAGAGTTCTTGTAACCACAGCCACGTCCAAGTGATCTAAGGGGACGGGCGCTTTGTGTTTTCTTGTTTTCTTGCTAATGTTTTTGTTTTTCTTGGTTACAAGAGGTAAAAACGCTATAAATACTGTTCGTTTTCTCACACAAACCGCTTGTTTCGTGTCTTAGGCCATGAATGTGTACTTACATTTACGAGTCACTAAAACCCCATAGACCTCCATTACATGACTGATAGACACGAACGGTTTGACCTAAAAATATCAAAATTGAAAATACTGTGGAAACAAAGACACCTACATCTTGGATGCACTTGAGGCAAGCTAAAACATATCAAAAATTCATTTCAAAGTAAACTATATCCCTTTAAGTATCTTTATATTTTCATTAGAGATAATTGGGTAAGTGATAAAGAAGTATCTAAAATTGAGGGAACTACTAAATAATAAGTGTTGAATAAGTATTTCATGTGGTTGCAAAGCAAATCTTAAACTTAAAAAAGACTTCCTTTAACCTTCATTCCTAAATGTCAGTCTTTAACCGCAATTGTTAGGCTAATCAACCTAATTTGTATTATATTTTAGTGTTTTCACAAATTCCCTCATGTCGAAATTCAACATGAAGGGGGGTGGTCCACTGCAGAAGGAGGTTTTTGAAAACACTGCATTGTTCTCAGTCATTAGAGGTATGTGTGTCTGTGTGCATGAGGGTACACATTGACTAGAGAGTTTATCTCAGGTTTTAGGCTATGGGATTAAAGACAAAAATTGATTTATATTTTATAAATTAACAGGTTATTTTATTTTTAATTTGGTATTTTTTTATGTTAACATCTTAAAGGCTTAGTTCACCCAAAAATTCTGTCAGTATTTACTCACCCTCATGTTGTTCCAAACCTCTATGTGTTTATTTGTTCTGCTGTACACAAAGGAAGATATTTGGAAGAATGTTTTAATCAAACAGTCGAATCCCAAATATCTTCCTTTGTGTACAGCAGAACAAATAAACACATAGAGGTTTGGAACAACATGAGGGTGAGTAAATACTGATGTACACAAAGGAAGACATTTGGAAGAATGTTTTAATCAAACAGTCGAATCCCAAATATCTTCCTTGGGTGAGTAAATACTGACAGAATTGTCATTTTTGGGTGAACTAACCCTTTAAGTGTTTTTTTTTTTTTATTATTATTATTATTATTGTTTGTAATATTTTAATTGCTCATTTTTACGTTTGGATCTTTTTGTAAATTGTCTAAGTTGTTCATGTTATTTTTGTAAATAAAACCTTTATATTTGATTTGTTTGGATGAATTGTCATGAGTATCTGCTATTTTTGAAGTAAAAGGATCTTATAGCTGCATTTTATTGTCTATTACATATGGTTCTTCAATAGCTGTGTAATTGATGACACGTCTATTCTTGGGTGATGTTTAGACGTCTATTCGATTTTCACTGACAGCCCAAATTTAGCCTTGTTTTAGCCTAGCCATATGCACTGTCTATTAGACGTGTAAATGTAGTCATTCAATAGCCGTCTATTTGATGACTAGTCTATTTTTGGGCTATGGTTAGACGTCTATTAGGCATATATATGTAGTCTTTCAATAGCCGTCTACTTAATGACTTGTCTATTCTTGGGTTATGGATAGAATTCACCGATCCATTGAAAATGCCTTTATATGTTCGCCGTGCGCGCGCATTAACTTTGATTAAACTAACTCGACACAGGTGTTTTTGGAAGCGACATACCTCGAGTAAGCAGGTTTTGGGTTAATAGCCCAGAGTTCAGGGCTAAGCCAGCTTTCTGGAATACACCCCAGGCTAAATTAGTTTAAAAGAACTGCAGCCTTTATTGCATGTATTTGTTTGAGTTTACTGAGGGTCATGCATAGTGTATGGAGGCTCTGAAGGGACATGGTGATGGGAGGACAGAAATGAGAGAATTATTTTGCGCTCTCTAGCAAATGTTTTGCATTCCCTCACGAGACTTTGAATGTTCTCCCATTTAAAAATTTTTCTATCATCACCATGTCCCTGTAGTGCCTCCATAGGGGTGTGATTGTTTAAAGGAGACTGAAAATGGAAGCAATTGATTATTTGTCTGTTTATGTTGTTTTCTTTCTTAAACACTTACAGTGACCCCACATCAACTCTTCCACCTGTTGGTCTTTATAGCCATTATCATTGTGAAATACGCCTTATTCACGGCAGCGCCATCTTGGATTTTTAATGAGAATGAAAGCGAGGCTGTGAGGGATAAACTTGCATCTCTTCAATGGGCTGTATGTTATTTAATGTGTTTTCGGATTGTTCTGCTCATGAAACACTGGAAAAATATCTTTCCAAGAAATGTCAGTTGACAAAAAACTCCCGACAACGTAAGCTGTGGAAAATTGTAAGTAATCTAGCCGCTTTATTCACCTTTTTACAGCAGATGCCATTGGAAACACGGTAAGTCTATCCCTCACAGCCTCACTTTCATACCTGTCATGGCGCTGCTCTGAATAAGGTCTATGTGATCCTGTTTACAGCACTGCTAATCCAGATTCGGTAATCTGAAAAAGTGTGTATCTGGATCAGAGTGATCCAATCCTTTTTTCTAAGATGGATTACCTGATCCTGAAAAGCAAATTGGGATTTACAAATCTTGATCATTATGATCCAGATTCAACTTTTTGAACAACTGGCAACATGGTTACTAAATGAAGGACAGTAATAGCCATTTTTCACTGTTCATCAACACCTTAACATTGCACAAAACATATTTATAAAGGGAAATGTCATTGCTTATTAGAATTATTTACATTAACACTGAAATAATTAAATTGCACGAATTGCTTCACGGTTAATTTTAGGCATTTGTCACTTTAATCCTGAGACCACATTTAGGATTTCCATGAATGCTTTCTAGATTTCCACAGTGGATCCTTAAGCCGGCATGAAACAGCAGTTGTGCTGGTCTTTTCTCCCCTATTGTGATGTCTATGAGCGTGATGAAACGGCTTCTGGAAGAAGATCAAGTGAAGGGCGGAGCTTGATTTTGTCCTGGGGAATTGATCGGATGGTTGTCCATTTTGATTTCATGGTGACTTTAAGATAATGCAGCCGAGGTCTCCTGATGTCAGATGGGCGTCATGTGAAAGCCACAGTTGTCAGCCGAAGGGGATTGTTTGAGGATTTATTGAATTGCGTTTCAAAATACTGGCAAAACATGATCAATTGTACTCTCTGTGGTCTATTTTGAGAGTTAGCTGCCTTAGTATTTGCTTCATACCCAGCTGTTTTATTGCGGTTTAACAAGCTTTGCCAGCTAAATGTGTCCCTTGATCACTATCAGTCTGGTTAAGATATTTCAGACTTCCTGCACCAGTGTTTCAGCAACCTTTTCAGCCATAGCGGTCATTCATAGTTATACCCACAGGGAAAACAAATCTACAGGCACAAGAACACAACGATAACCACGACTAATAGGTCCACGATTAAGAGAGCAGAAAATCAATCATGCTGAATATGTTTCCAGATGTCCCACAGGCCTGTCTGCATGGATCTAGGATTCACAGATCAAGGATTTAACTTCAGGTCGGGAAAGGCACCTGAC